AGAATCATAAAGTGTAATTATACACCGGTAACATTTTAGAGGCAACATATTATATATATCTCTACTATATTAGTTAATCTATTTTCTATAGAGATATGAATTGTTTTAAAATAAATACTCTTTTCATACTTATTTTAATAATATTTTACCATTGATATCTTTTCATAAATTTATTAATTATTATTTTATTTGATCTTGTAATCAAAACACAATAATAATAGAATTTAGAGATAAGGAGACTGTTCAAGGAATAACATTGTGTGGGCAAGGTTATGACCACAAGCTACAGTTACACAATTTTTTAAATATTATATTTTGAAATTTTGACTCTATTTATTTTAATTGCATTGATTAATTAACAAATAATAAAATAATTAATATTTATAATTTAATAAATTAAAATTAATTTATATATTAATATTTTAAATATTATAATTAATTAATTATTAATAAAATATCAAAATTTATATAATCCTAATATAAAGTAATCACAACCACACCCTTAGCATGTGTGGTGGTCACTCGTTTAGTATAGCATCCACCCAACCAGGAATCTATAGACTTTTTTTTTTGAATAGTTTTGTCATGGGGCGGGTTCGAAACCTGTCCGGGAAAAAGGATGTGCACTTTTTAGTGGCTCTAGTCACTGGACCACACGGACCAAGTGCAGGAATCTATAGACTTTTGATCCTTTGCTTTCCTAAATTTATATAAGTTTAACTCATCACTTTATACTATAGTTTTTTTAATCTCTCATTTATTAGAATTAAAAAAAATAACTTTCATTTATTATATTTTGTTGATTTTGTTAGTTTACTGTTAAGTTTGTTAATTGACTATTAACTCTATTAATTAATTGTTAACTGACTATTAACTTACAAAAATTTATTTTCAACTAATAGAGTTAACAGTTAGTTAACAAAACAGAATTATTTTATTAATTAACTATTAACTCTATTAGTTGACTATTAGTTAACTGTTAATTGATAAAAATATATTTTTAACTAATAAAATTAATAATCAACTACCAAAATTAACAATCAGTTAACAAAATTAACGAAATATTATAAAATGATGATTTTTTTTTAATTTTAATAAAAAAAGATATTAAAAAAATCATAATATAAAATAAAAAATTAAAACTTATAAATTTATTAAAATTAAAAATTAAAAATAGGTTTTGTCGAATCAATCCCCGTATCATCCCTTTTCCTTCAACCATGTTGTGGACCAATGCTTTATGTCTAAGAGATTGGTGACCAGTTCTAAATTCGATCCAGGTGATCGACATGATTCTTACCCTATTTCCCCCAAATTCCCATGTTCAATTATTGAAAAAGAGAGAGAGAGAAATAGGTAGCATAAGTCTTGGATTGAGATATATAATTTTACCTTTTTGCCAATTTATATTGCTGCAGTAACCAACACACATTGGAGTTAAAGAAATCGAAGGAAATTATCTCTTTTAGCCACAACGCATCATCAAAATTTGGTCGAACCAAGCCGCACATACTCACTTATTCATCATGCCAATCTGCAAAATTATAATTAAGGCAACAATTTTATAAATCAAGAATAATGAGAACAACAGGCTAAACAATGCGTTTGCAGCAACCTTTAAACTGTAATAGCTAAATTGTAAACACTAACTTCAGAACCTCAATTTTGTTCCCTGGTGTGGCAGGTTGAATCACGTAGATAGAAATTATGAGCTGCTTCTGGGGGTGCCAATCCCAGAGAGAGGCGTCAAAACACATGACCAGTGGATTACAGCGTCTTAGCAGAGGCGAGGCTTCTCGAATTGAGAAGGCCAGCGACGGCTGCGTGACACCCATTGGGAAATTGATGGAGGCACGACGGGGAGAGGCGGAGATAGGATTAGGCTGGGTCTCCGGTGGAGCATGCCGGAGCAGTAGCGACAGAGGCTGGTCAGGATTCAACTGGGGCGGGCCTTGTTTTATATTTAGGCCCCCAAACTTTCGAGAATTGGAAATTTAAACCTTTATATACTCTTTCATTGGCAAATTACCCTATTAACCGGGTGTGTAACTGTTTGTCAGGCAGGGATGGCATATTGCCCGACGTCCCACATGGATCCGGTCACAAGGACGAGAATTCGTGGAATATTGCTCCCTATAGGAAGAGAACGGGGCCATTCTTAGAAATTTTTAACAGGGTGAGAATTCGAGAAATATTCCTAAACTTAAGCAAAAATATTGGCATAATTGTAATGGTCTCTAGGAAAATTTTCTATGACAGCACAAGTGAAAACAGACTATTTTTTGAGAGTTAGTGTAAAACTCTCTGTATAGTGCTACACAACTGAGTTCCGGTCAAAGTTTTCCAAGAAAAGTCTTCTAAAAGTGCATACAACTTTCTGATTCTCGCTAAACATTAACCAGTCTCAGGAACAAACTTCCATTACTTCGGAAAAATATTAATCAGAAATTTATTTTCTGTCTCGGCTTATGTCAACATTAAGATTAGTCTAAAACAGCTATAGTTTGAGAGTCAGCTTCATGACACAGGATCCACAGGGACAGTAGAGTTGTGGACTCTCTCCATAGCTTTCTTTGCCTGCAAAAAATTTCCATAAGCTCAATCTTTCTACGAAGAGATGATGGAAATGAAGAGAAATAAGCTGTTGATTTATGTACCTCTTGCTCCCAGTTAGTGCGTGCAAGAATGATTATAAGAGAAGTTACTTGAACAACAAGCGCACAGATGATCCCCAGCCAGAGCCCCTAAAAACAATTTAAGGTACGAGAAAATCATTTTGGTTGATGTGAAGGAAATGAACCAAATAGTAAATTGTTCAGAATCGTTCTAAATTGGCTAGTAAAGTAGAATAGTGATTAGTTCTTTACCTTTCCGCCAACGTGAAGTACGAAAGCTAAAACAATAGCACAAGGAATCCCCACCAAGTAATATGATCCTAAATTGATATATGCACCAATTTTCTGCAATCCACACCCTCTTACAGTGCCTGAATTGTCACATGCAGATACTTATTAGGAAGTTGCTGAAGTTTTGAATGTGAATACTAAGTTTCTTCAATGTGTTTCAAATCATTTCTTTGATTTGTACATTAAGAATGCATGTTCATAGGTAGAAAAGCATATAAATCGTTATGAGCTTTGTTATCTGCAACTATGCAAAATTTTCTATGAAGCATAAAAAAAGTTACGAGGCAAGGAATTGAGACCTGAAAGAACACATTGAAGTCCGTCCAAGAAGTTAGAAGCTGCTAGAATTGGCATCATGACTGCTACATATTCAACAACTTTTATCTCATTGCTATAAGCATAACCCCATATGTTCCGGATCAAAATCAGGACTAATCCTACCAAAATGCCCTCAGTAATGCCGATAAGTAGGACAACACAAACTGCTAAACATGCAGCATCTGGATGCCCTGCTCCTAATTCATTCGAAACTCGTGTGCTGCAATGGATCAAGATGCAAAACAAGTTTAATACTAATGCTTCAGAGTTATCTGTCATCAAATGAGGGTAATTTTTTACCTTACTGCACCACTTAGTCCAAAGGGGATCATCCAAACAGTACTGGCGGTATTGAGGCTGAAAGTTAAGATGTTGGATAAGCTTAACATTTCAGTTGAACAAGAACTCATGATTATGTAAACTAAACTAAAAATTCTAGGTAGAAATAGTCAATGAAACTTTGAAACAGACCAGATAGAGAGAACAGAAGTTTGTAGCTCTGGATTAGGGAGAAGTCCAGATACAAGGACCATCATTTCAAATGACCACATCTCCAAGCTGTTCAAATTGATGGGAAAATCAAAGTCTTTATGTTGACATTTTCTGCTTAACTGTGTTACTGATTGGGGGAAGAAAAAGGGGTAAGAGATTACCAGACCATAACAGCTGATGGAACAGCAAGACGAAGAAAATTGAGGATGTTATGCAGTGCGTCCTTTGAAAATCCTGTCCAGGTTTTAGTGCAGGAAGGAGAAAACTTGACATAACATACCAACAAAAATACATTCACCCAATAGGATATTACATTTGCCAAGGCAGCACCTCTAATTTCGAGGCCAGATTTGAACACCAGAACCCAACAAACAGGAATGTGAAGCAGAGTTGTGATTCCTGAAAATAACATCATTGGGTAAACAATGCTCTGTGTTTGCAAAAATCTGCTAAGAGACTGAAGGAGACTGTATGCGAAAAGGCTGGGAATCATGAAACGAGCATATATTCCTGCTTCCTTAGCAATGTCATGATCTTGGCCTAGAAGAACTAGAATGGATCTGGTGTTTGCCCAAATTATGGCTAGAGGTATGGTAACAAGAACAAGAACAAACATGGCTCTTTGCATGTGTATCCCCAGCATATGATACTGCTTTGCCCCATATGACTGTCCGCACAGTGTATCTAACGCACTTGCCATTCCCATCTGTTGTAATGAAAAAAACCGAATAATCATAAATTCTAGTTAAACAAGTTTAATGTTTTGGAAAATTTTTAGATGTGAAGATGAGAGCTCTATATCAGAATTATGAAAATTTGACTTTGGTTGGTGCTCATTGCTGGATTATAGTAAACGCTAAATCTTTCCACAGGTCCATATACCATCAAGTACTGTCATTTTATCATAGTAAGGAATGGCATGCTATGACCTTTATCTTGATGGTCTAAAGGATATGATAAGGCCAAGAAATTGTAGATAAGTGCGTTTGTAGGTAGTTACAACCTACCAGTCAAGCAGTAACCACAAAATGACTTGACAATTTAGTTTTTATTTAGGTCTCTATAACAACAAATAGTTGATGTAATGCTCATAGAAGAAATGAACACTTGTGTCAACAACCTAAGTAGCTCAATAATAATCTTCTTCTAGTGGAAGTAATATGTCTTGAGTTCAAATTATATAGCATGTGGATAGAGTGAATTAAAGGATGGGAGAGATTGCCTCCTATTGTGCAACCCAAGGAAAAAAATGAACACTTGTAAAAATATGAGATATCAACACTACAAACCATGATTAATGAATTGACAAGATGCTCAAAGGAGAAAAGACAAGAAGATGGATTAATTAAAAACGAAGACTATAAGAGAGATAGCAACAACTATTCATGTGGCTAGAAATAAGCAAAATAAACAGCCAGGAATGGATGCATAAGTCTTTTTCTGTATGTATATCCTGAGTTTTGAAGGCTGAAACTTGTTCTCATGGGCAAAAAATCAAACACACATGGATCATAAACTTGACAAAGCTGTTATCCAGAGACAGGACAAAATTGAGTTTGGGATGATCAACCAAATTAAAACTTTAGCTCAGAATCGCCATGCATGAAGAATGAAAACAGAACAGAACTGATACTAAATATATAGCTATGAAAAAAAACTTTCATATAACACATGATACGAAGGGAGAAAACAAGAGAAACCCAACTCACCAGCAAGCTAAAACCAGTGACTGTTGCAAACGAAGTGGCCATTGAAGCACCGGAGAGAGGTAGCTCACCAAGGTGCCCAACAAACATTATGGATATCATCTGTAAAGAGTACCATAAGAGACTTACAGTTACCAGAGGCCCTGCTAGCCATAGCTGCTTCTTCACTTCTTCAAAAATTTTCTTTCTTATTATTGTACCTTCTCCATTGATTCTCCCTTCATCATCATTAACAATAATCACAGCTTCATCATTTTCCCCTAATATTTGGATCAGAGGTGCATGTAGAGAGAACTTTCTCCCTTCTCTTTCTTCTCCCTCCATTTCTTTCTAGTTCCACAAACACAGC